GCGACAACGTTTAGTTGCGACGGCTTCGTTTCTGTTACAGCAAGCGATGGCTGGAGGTGCAGTCATCCTGCCAGCTTGCAGCTGCTGGGGTGCAGCACAAGGGCTGGGTGCTGGGGAGGTGCTGGGGCTGAGAGCTGCACCACCACAACGCAGCTGATCAGGGAGCAGGCTCCCCGCAGAATCACGGCCTCGTGGAGCTGTGTTGGTATGAATGAGCTGCTTGATGCGGTTCTTTGCTGCTTTTCACCTTGCGTGGTAATTTACTGCTGTGCCAACAGAATGAAAAGCGATCCTTCTGATCCGGGAGTGCCTTGCTACTGAACGTGTGCTGGAGGCTCAGTCCCCAGAGGATATTTATTACGAGCCCGAGTGGGAACCCCTGGCTCTTCAGACAAGCTTTTAACTCTGTGAGTGCACAGCTCAGCCCCTGGCAGCCAAGACTTTAGCTGTCGCTTTCACATTTACATCTGCACAAGTGGCTCACACATTTGCTGAGGTGTAAGCAAACATAACAGGAGGCAGTAGCAGGTCAGGCCTGGAGCATTTTACTGTCAGCCACTGAGAACTCGGCTGGCACGGGCTGGGATTTCAGATGAGCCAAAGGGAGTTAGGTGCCTCTTCTCCAAGCAGCACAGTGCTGCACTTTGCCTTGCAGCACGTGCCCGCTGCTTAACGTCCTCATCTAGCATTTCAGCACACAGCTCCGCCTCCGGTGTGAAAGTTACAACGTCACTGCCAAGATTGTTGGATGCCAAAGCAGATCTGAGCCATGCCTGGAAGCGTGTGTATTTGAACTAGGAGCGAACAAAAGCTTAACTTGGGGTATGAGCTACTTGCAGATGAAGGACTTGGCACGCTGTTATTTGCCCCGGAGGATGCTATTCAAACACATCAGTTCTGCTGTCAAAAGGTTAGCCAGATCCTTGTTTGAGTGATACTGGAGGCTCTGCGCTAATTACTGGTGGGAAAATGCCAGATCCTTTGATTTAAGGAAGTAGGCTGGCATGCAATTGTCTCGTGGAAGATTTGAAACAATTTTGTTAGATTCCCTGCATTCTGCTTGATATTTGGATAATTGCTCCTTTCATCATTTTTCATCATTGCAAATCACATGAACAAATGTCCAGGAGGCACATCCGTAGCAAAATCATAGAACAGCAACCCTACTCTGGGTACATCACGACAAGAGGAAAAGTCACCATCCACACCAAGGGAGAAGAGAAAGCGGAAAACCTTTCCCACTGATTTGACTGATTCTTAGCCATATATGAATTAATATTTTTACACTTCTGCCTTTAGCTCCCTTAGACGAGCTCTCTGTCTGGTCTGGAAAGCAGTTCAGCTGTGCTGTCCCAAGAAAGAAGCCCTCCACCTTGTAAGCAGCTGTATTTGAGTGTGACTGGCTTGGTGCTGGTAGAAGTTTGGGTGCTTGTGGCACAGGTGATCCCTGTTGGCTCTGGGCATGCCTTCACCTGATGTGGGTGTGTTAAATTCAGAAGTTGGGAGCAGCTCAGCTGCCCAAAAATTGCAGTAAGGGGCTTGCCTTTGTAGCAGCAGCCTGAGTTATTCCTGCCTGTGGCTGCTGGGAAGGAAAGGAGTGGAGAGAGCACTGCAGGGCTGCTACAGCAGGAAGGTAGGAAATAATACAGGGAATAGAGCTGTGACAGGTAACTAACGGAGGGAGCTGGTGCTCTCTGAAATGCCTGGTGTTTTTTTGAGCTGTGAGCCCTTACCCCTGGTCCTAAGGCTGTCTCTTTTCGACTGCTTTGTGCTTTTTCAGGAGAGCTCCATTAGTGTGTTATGTACACGTTTGGCTATGGAATGAGATGTTTTTGAAATGGTAAGGCTGTGGTGGGGGAGAAAGTGAGCTGCTAGGCTCTTGTACTGCACTGGCACTTAAAACCAGGGGCTGCTTCTTCCAGGCTGTTTTCTTTTTCGGTCAGTCCTGTGGGTAGCTGGATGCTGCCCCACTCAGCAGGTCCTGCCAGCTGTTACTCTAGGACAAAGCACAAAACCCTACCTGAGGCTTCCAGTCAGCCTTAATTCAGCATTGTGGAGCTGATACTTGCACAAGCAACCACTGATAAAGCTATCCTAGCCTTTGTGAAGTCCCAGAAGGGCAGGGCAAGGCAGAGAACTGCTTAGAGCACTGCCTTGTTGGACCAAGTGTCTGGGAAAGGCAAAAAAAATGGTACTTTGGGGAACCAAAACATCCTTGTTCCAGCAGCTTTACAGTAGTACTGCTGCTCAGAGCAGCCCAGGAGCGTGTTGTGTTCCCAGGGATCTGAACAACCTGCAGACAGCTCCATCCTGCTCTCCCTCTGACAGTAACGAGGTACACGCATGTTTCTCTGCAGCAGTACTGCTGAGTCCTGTTCCTACTAGGCAGAACGTCTGCAGTGCGTGTCATTGGTGTAATTTAAAGTGGTTTTGTGGGATGTGAAGCAAGAGTTAGGTGAGAAAGCATAATGTTGCTGGCTTCATTAAAGGCACAACAACATAGTAACAGCTTTAACTTTTAGCTCTGTCTTCCCTTTTAGCAAGGCTGAAGATCAGAGTGCCTCTGTGATCTATAAAATTGTCCAGGGAACTCACAAAACTTCTCTTAGAGGAATGTGCATTTGCATAGAGGCTCTTTATGGACTTCTGTCAAGTACAGAGATCTTGTTTTAGATCAGAATTCTTTGCAGTTGAGAGTATCTTGCATCTTCTTACTGCTTAAGAAGGACCAAAAGTGAATTTCACAAGGTGAATAAGTAATCTGTTGTCTGACCTCGAAAATAAGGCTGGCTTTTGTTTTTTATGAACGTGCATGACATTGAAGAGCCAGCAGTTTGCTGCCTGCAAGGCTCAGAATCCCTCTGGGCCACTTCGGCTCCTGCATACAGAGCTCTGATGGGCTGTCAGCTCCTTATAACCATTACACTCCAAGAACAATATGGCAAAATAAAACCAGTTATTTAAGGGAAGCAGGGGAAGCCCTGCTTGGGGTGGGTTGTGAGGGGTGCAGTGGGAATGAGATCTGCAAAGAACATAAAGCAAGAACAGCCTGAAAAGCCTGGCACCACATAGGTGCAGCTTCCCCAAGTTGTATGGTGCGCAGAGAGGGCAAGGTAGTACCAGAGATGAAAAATAATAACACAAGGAAGGTTTAAGGGTAGCAAAAGTTTAAGGGAAAAGAGCAAAGAGATGGTAGTAGAAAATGAAATGCTGCTGATAGTCCTCATGAAGTGCAGAGGCCTATGCTCAACTGAAATGTCAGGTTTGGGGAACTGGGGCTTTATTTTTGTCCCCTCCATTCGTCAGACTTACCCCCCTCCCTTAAAAAAAAAATCTACCTGCTGTATGTAGCTGCTTAAAATTGTGTTCTTAAGCTGATCTTTCTCTTTGCTTTCTTTATGAGGTCTTGGACATGTGCTGAGTTCTCATCAACAGAATTTCCCATTCGTATTTCCCATTTATCTTTCATTTTGAGCCCTTTTTGCAGGTTTTAGGCTTATTGAGATGCTGTTTAAATCCCTTAGGAGATTCCCGTGTTATTCGTGTGGGTAAACCTTGCAAAGGGTTCTTACCAACGTGTGCTTTGGATCAGAAATGTTGGCTGTTGGCTTGTTACTGAAATGTCTGTTCAGCAATGAGCAAAGCATGGCCGAGGTGTCAGTGGAAGGAGCTCTGTTTTCATTTAAACGAAATGGGGAGCTGGTTGTGATGATAGTCACCCAATTTGTCACCCTCTTCAGATGTGGGCTTGCTGTTGTGTGGGTTGCAGATCCTTTGATAGTAGAGTTGAGCTGCCTCTGACTTTGCACAGCTGCCATTTGATCACTGCTTATCAGAGCTGCTCTCACACATTAGTGAGATGTGTGACTGCTGCACCTCTGCTTCAGCTGATCACCTGGCTTCTTTGAAAGCCCTGCAGAAGGTGAGCTGCAAGGTGCTGCTGCAGAGATGTCCTCCCAGCACACCAGTGAGCTGAGCTCCACTGGGAGTGTGGGGCAGGAGAGTGCAGAGCTCCTTCCTCCTGGCTGCAGAGACCTGCTGCCTGGCCAAGGGCAGCTCTCAGCTCCAGCTAGCAAAGCTCCGGGCCAGCTCGTTTCCTATCAAACCAGTAGGTGCTGAGGCTTCTGAGGAGCCGAGGGTGATTTTTGCCTTTATCTTTTATGGGAAAATGCAAGCTTAGTTTGTGAACTCAGATCAAATAACTTCTAGTGATCAATTTTAACTGAAGAAGTTTTGAAGTAAATTTGAAGTGTTTAAATTTATTTATTTTTTTTGGTACAAGATGCTGTATTTATTTAAAAATAAAAAAGTAAAATAAAAATCTCCCCATATTATATATGTATACTTCAGGAATACTCGTTCTTGTAGCTCAAACTTGCATACACAGGCTGGCACTGAGCTCTTACACTGCGTCATGAAGCTGGTGTCCGTAGCTGTACTGTTCAGGACTAGCATTGCCCATGTCTGTCTGTCCTTGTGGCTTGAGCAGGACAGCTGGGTGTTGTTTCCAGCTCTCCCAACAGAGAAACCTCAGAATAGAAGCAGTAAGGTCCCCGCTTTGAGAAGAGCATCCAGATGCTGAGTTCTTCTCTTTCAGAATCTAAATACTGCACTGGGCAAACTTAAATGTTGGGGTTGGTCATGCTGGAATGATTAGGTGGATGTTGCAAATGAATTATGCCTGTAACTTTACAGGATGAGAATCTAAAATTCACATAGGTATTGTATCTGGATTAAAAATGACAAATGGAGTTCCTCTTGCTGCTTCGTGTTAAGAACATAACTCCTGAAATTATTTATTTCCACTTTATCGGTGCCCACTGCAGCCACTAGGAATTAAGCCCTGCATTGGCAGCGTAGCAGCCAAAGCAGCAATATTAGGTAATAAATGTTTGCATGCCATTGAGTGTACAAACATGTGGTTGCTTACATGACAGAGCTTTTCTTATCCAGTTATTTGTCTCAATTTTTCCATTACGTTTTCTCATTTTCTTTTCTAGCTTTGCTCACAGACAAGCCTCCAAAGCCATTGTTCCCCATGGAGAACCAGCCAACTGTTATAGATGTCCAGCTGGGTAAGTCCCCTTGTGGGAATAATAGATCCTAAACTTCCATTCTGGTAGCAGATGGGGAAAAATTGCGAGTGGTAAGAAAGGTTCAGTGGTACTGTTATTAAATGCAAATCAATCTGCAGCTTCTCATTTATAACTGTAGAGTTTTCCATCATGGCAATTTCAGGGAGTGAACTTGTGTAACATTGAGGACAGCAGTACTAGTTGGTTACACTGAGTATTAAAATCTAGAAATATACAAAATATAAAGCTCTGCAGCTCTTCTTAACATATGATTGATAGAGTAACATGTCTGCATCGGTGCTGTATTGATCTGTAGATGTTCACCCTAAGACAAATAGTCTCATAAAAGAAATGCTGATTTCTTTAAAAGTTAATAGAAAACTGCGTTTTCAGGTGGTTCTGAATGTGTACCAGAAAGGGCTTTTGACTAAAATGGCTGTATGCTTTTCTCATTCCCACTGTATTTTCTTGTGTGGTTGCAGAGCTCTAACTCTCAGCTGGCAGCACGTATTTTCTCTCATGTTGAGAAACTCTGTTAGAAAGTTCTGCTAACTTTGGGGAGCTGTGAGGCATCGTGATGCTGAAAGAATTGCTTGGCTTTGAAGTTCCAGAGGGTTTTTTTTTTCAGTGCCTTGAAAGGATATTTCTAAATTGAAGAAACGTAACTGGAGTTACTTTTGAGGACTCTGTTGCCACAAGTTTAAATTACAAAGGATGCATTGCAAATGTGGGTTATTTACTCTGTGTTGAAGGGGTGCCATTAGCTTTCTTTTTGAGCTTGATTCTTCCACTCTTATTGCAAAGTTGGGTAGGATTTGGTGGTGGAGTAGTCTTTAAAGGCAAGCAGAGTTGGAATGAAACATGTAAGGTGGCTGGTGAGTGCAGTAAAGTCTTTTGTCTGTCTGTTTGTGTGACATCCTCGTTTTTAAACTAGGAGCCTAACAGTATCAGCAAAACACTTCAGATAGCATGGAGTATTTAAAAATGGGGCTTGAATTCCCGAATGTGATTCCTGAATTGTGGCAAGAATGAGAATCATTTGCGACCCTAGCTAATGTTTCTCTCGTGTACCTGACCTGACTCCTGAGTCTGTCTGGACTTGCTCAGGGAAGGAAGGCAGCAGTGGAGCTGGGAAACAGGCAGTGCCTGCTGAATCCTGCAGCAGGTAAATGTGCATGCTCACACTCCCTTCCTCAGAAAATCCTGAGCAGAAATTAAGCCTAAAAGGCAAAAACACAAAATCAGTCTGAGGCCACACTCAGAAGCTGCACAAAACTAGCAGCAGAACAGCCATCAAAGTTTGGAGCAGCCCTAAAGGCTGAATTTGGTTTCCAGGTCCAGCTTGTTAAAAGTCAACTTTGTAATGATTTCCTCTGGGAGCAAACTGTCCCCGCATGCAGCTGGGTAATAAAGGCACTCAGAGGCACATCTTTGCTGCATTTTTATTCAGTCTTCATTTCCTATTCCAAGTTCCTCCATTCCATCAGGACTGTTTTGTACCGAGCTTTTTCTTTCCTACGTGAAAACATTTTGTTCTGACTGATTAAAAGGAGTTGATCTGAACTAAGTAAAATGAAAACAAACAAAACCCCTCCTCTCCTTGGAGATGGGGCTCAGTAATGGGATTTTGGAATATCTCTGTGGGGAAATAAGTCTTGCATCTTCGTGTACTGGAATGTATTCCATGAGTTGTCCTCGAAGATCAGGGAATTTGCTTGTGGGGCTTTTCTTCTGGTGGGGGAATGGTTTTGGTTATCATTGCTAAACCATATTCATCTTATGCTGTAAGAAATTAATGCTTATTCCAGAAAGAAGTTCAGGTTCTTCCATATACAGGGTAACTTGATGCATGTCCCTCCTAATTTTGAAATGGCAAATAGATAGAGCTAGGAAAGTCCCAGGGATCACCTTCAGCTTGTGGCAGGTACCTGACCTCTGCGGTGTGCTGCGGACCCCGTAAGGACTGGAGCTTTGGAGGAGAGAGAAACACTTGATTGTAGTGAAGAAACACAGCATCAAGTTTTAAGTCAGGTCATCTGCTGGAATGCTTTTCTGAAATCGTGCTAAACTGTTAAGAGTTTTAACAAGTGATGTTTTTCTGTGTTATACCAGACATGAAAGCAAAGCCCCTCTGAAAGGATCCGTGCTTCGGAGGGCATTTAGCCCATGGAGCCAAATCATCTCATACGCCTGCTTTTTCAGCAGGTCATGCGAGTATGAATGTGCTGTTAAACTACAGAAGAAGTGGAGTTTAATCCACCTACTTGTTCGGAGAGATTATTTTAGATTCCGTTGGAAAACTAATCTTTAAAGAGATGGCTGTCTTTGCTTTATGAGCGGAGCAGATTAATAGTTATTTAAGGGCTTTATTCTAAATGATTAGCACAATGCAGTGCAAAATCCTCCCAGAACTCTAGGCAGCGGCCTGACAATTTAGCAGCTTACTTGACCTGATTGCAGACTTCAGAATTCACCTCTTGGCTTTCCTGTTTTTGTAAGAAGGTTCAAATGAAAATAGGTATGTGCAATTCTTATTGACAGTGGATGAAAGAGCTCCTCCAGGCTTCAAACATGGCCCAGAGCCTGCCTTGTTCTTCTGAAGGAGCATGCTTGTACTTCTTGCTTGTTCCTTTTTCCTTTGGAATTTGACAGAGATCAAAACCAACCCTGTCAAGGTTATAGGGAAGCAGAAGCCAGAATTTTCTTCTTGTGTTCTGTGTTTGCTTGTGGTGGAGAAGTAGAGGAAGAGAGGAGAGATGATGAGCACAAAACAGCATCCCAGGGGACTAGAGAAATAGTCCAAAACCAATTTCACTGTCTTGGATGCTTTATGAGGTCAGATAATCACTTCATCTGTGGGCAGATCTAGAAAATAGCAACAATTTGTTTATTTTTTGTTTACATCCCCCTTTTCATAAAAGGGGGGGGGGAAACACCCCCGGATTTTTATTTTGATAGCTCTTGGCTTCAGGGAACAGCATAGTAGTGGTACTTCATTGCATGACGATACAGCACATTTAATCTTACATCCTGATTGTAACAAATATACTTTATAGAAAGAACAAACATCATGTTTTTGCAGATATGAGCTTAATCTGATACTATATCATTTGCTTTCTGAAAAACGATATTCTTAAGTTTCTTCATTAAATTTAAATCAAATTTGATTGTACAAGCCAAAATACACTCAGGTCTTCTGCCCAGGAGGCAGCGTGGCTTTAGCACTAGGCTCTGGAGATAGTATTTAAAGAATTTTGTGCTGTACATCCTTCCTTTTCTGTTTGCAAAATGTGACAGTCTCCCCCGTAAAGGTCTGCATGTGATCTTCCTAAAGCTTAGGACAGTGTGATTCAAAGAAGTTGTTCAAAGACATTTTTTTGTTGTTGCTTTGACCATATAAACCTAGCTGCCTATTTGGATTGTTTGTACCAAATGGCTCAGGCTAGACAACTCCTGGTACGAGTTAGAAAAGTAAAGATCCAAACCCCTGTCAGAAGCCTCCAGGCTGCAGTGCTGTGAGTTTTCAAGATCTCTCACCCGTTTTCACAGGCAGTTCTGGCAGTGAGGGGAGCGTGCTGTGCTCGAAGTCTTCAGTGACCTGTTGGTGCAGCACTCTTTCTTAATTTCTTTTAACTCTTTTTTTCCAGCTAACTCTGTTTACTCCTAGTTCTTTGAATGTGGAAGGAAAGATAACCAAGCCTTTGAATTCTGATTACGCAGTTACAGAGTAGGTCTCTCATCTGACCTGGCTTCTTTGCCTAATCCTGGTAGTGCCAAGGGGCTGGTGTCTGGTGGAAAAGCAGCGTGGCAGGGGCACGTGTTAGCAGCAGAAAGGAAGCACGCCTCTGCTTTGCTGACTTTGGGCTGGACAGCACCCTGTAAGAATCAGTGCAGGAGCTGCATCTCGCTAGCCAACGTTCAAGGAGCTCCCAGAGTCATCTCGCCTGCAACATCGCTGCTGTTTTACACTTGTGTGGTGTTCTTCAGTATCAAAAAAGCTAAAAACACCACATCAAAACAGATGCTAGGACTTTCTGTTCTGTTCTACACCATGGAATGCAGTGGTTGCGGTGTCAAGTTAGGCTTTTCCTTATGAATATTTATGGTGAGAGAGGTGAGACTGGAGTTAATGTTTGCATCTATATGAAGTTGATCACTTTGGTATCACTGGCTTTAAATTAGGTACCAGTTTTGCTTTCAGACACTTACATAAGAAAGGTAGCAGGAGTCTTTAAAGAACAAAACAACAAATATCTATGTTAATTCATTTACTTAATAAGGGAAATGTCAGGGGATTTACCTCACTGATTCCATGGTAGTTTCTGTGTCCAAAGATGCTGAGGAAGGAAAATGCGTAGTTTATGAGGGTTCTCACTTTCTCCTAATAGCTGACCTGGTCAGAAAGATTTTGTTTCTAGAAGATTTAACAGGGCAATTCCTTGAGGCTGGTTATTAAGCAGATCAATAGAGCTACTGTAAAACAAGCATAAGAGAACATACAAAGCTCCAGTGTCTGCTGACAGGTATGGGAAAAGCATAAAAAAAGTAGCACTTAAAAAATAGTGAAAGGTCCTCTAAAGTGCTGGCTCCATGCTCTTCTGTGGAGATGTGGAGCTCTTGTCACTTGTATGAAATGCTGCAGCAGCCCAAACACATTTACAAGGAGATCTTAGCCCTGGTGGAGGGAGACATGGGCACAGAACATGCCAGGTGTCCAGAGCCAATGCCTGAGTCACCCCAGAGCTCGTTCAAACTCCTTCTGAAAGCTCAAACCTGGGTAGACCTGGGAGGATTTTCCTGCAAATGGAAAGGGCGCTCGCCTGGTGTAGGGTTGGGTGTCTCTTTTAGGATTGAAAGGCTGGGAGGTAATGTCTTTTTTCACCCATTCTGTGAGAATGCCGAAGGTGTTTGATGTCGATGTCTTCCCCTCTGTGTCTTCCAAAATTAAAAAGGTCTGATTAAGGTAATTCATTTTTTCAATTTGATTTCACCAAATAGAT